TTAAATATTTTATTACATAAGCTAAATAAGGGCAAACGTTAACATTGCTTAAAACAGCTAACAGCTAGGATAGTTTTCCCCTCTTTCTGTCTTTTTCATCTTGCTTTTGCCTTGAAATTAGCTCAACAAATTATTTATCATTCATGAAACTTGCACATTTCTTTCAAGACTGGGATTGAATCAACACTGCGGAGCATTTGTAATGCAAATTGGTGTTGTCACGTCATTGAAACTGAGGGTGACAGCATTGTCAAAAGCGAATTGAATTTTTAACAGGTTAAATTGTTATTACGAGTTTACTTCGCCCTTGGAAAAACTTTTGCTCCCTGTAAAATTTCGTCAAATTTATATTCACTGCTCGACATTGTCAATCTTAAATGTTTATTCTTTTGTTTCTTCAATGTGCACCCAGGCCGTTTGCGTAAGTTAAAAGTGCTATCTTGGTGGAATTTCAAAGGAAAACTGGTTAATGTTAAATGATATAACTACTTAATTCTTCAAGTTCTGAATTCAATATGATATGTGTATTTGGATGTTAACTAAATGGTAATGTAATGTGAAGCATTCGAAAAATTACGGATTTTGTATTTAGTTGGCTATTTTTAGTAGAACTATAATTAAAATTGTTTTATTTCCCTGTGCAATGCAGCGCGTTACGAATTTTAAGAGAAAGCTACGCCGGAGTAGTAAAAATACAAGAGCACGTACATTTAACATTAAATAAAAAGTTTATCTCCGTAACTGATATTTAATTTGAATAAGTGTAATTGACTACAATGTTAACTGTAACCTAATTCTACGCTTTTTGCTTTCCGTAAATTGCTGGAACTCTCTCGTGCGGCCGATTAAAAAAGTCGTAAAAGCCAGAGAGAGAACATCTCAGCTCAGTTGCTCTGCTCAGCTCTTAGCTGCTGTCATTCTGAGATCGGATTAACTTTCTCTTCGTTTTGGATTGTGTTCTATTTAACGTTTTAGTAGCTTAAAATATAACTACTGTTTATATTGCATGATATTGAGGCATTGTACGAATATCTTTGAGGATGGTGTATTGAGAATACGGCAAAGCACACTAGGGCTATCTGCCTAAGGGGAGGGATGCCTTCGTGGAGGACTTTCTAAAGAAAACTGGCTCGTATACACAGCTCGTATAGTGTGCATGAGGAAAACCACGAAAACGCCCATGCAGCCAGCCCGTTCGCGGGATTCGAACCTCGAACCGTACTACCAGCGTTCAACGATTTTACCGCTCGGCCGCTGGTGGGCATCTTTGAGGAAAAATCCAGCGTTTTCTTATTTATTCTTGTGATAAGAATAAATTTTACTAACTTTTTAACAATATAATATGAACCCGTATTTACGCAACAATATGTGTATTTGGATGTTAAATAAATAGTAGAGTAACGTAATGTTAAACACTCGGAAAATTTTGAAGTGATTTCGCTAAGGAAACTTTTATTTCCAAAACATGTTTCAACAGACGAAACAAGCCAAAATGTGTAATATCCTTGTGAGAAAAACAAACAGGAAACTGAGTTATTGACAAGTTCTTGCACGTTTTGGAAAATATTTCTGGTTATATAAAACTGGTTGCTGGGAAAAGACAACGAAAAAAATTCTATATTCGGAAGATAAATCTTATTAAGAAAGTTTGCGAGAAATAAATGTAATATAACACATAAATGAAAGTTTATTTTCATAAATTTTGAATTTTCGCCTGTAAAGCACTCGCACATTTCCAGAAAGCCACGTAAATACCAATAGCTATAGTGTCCGCATTATAGGAGAGGGCTTTACTTAAAAAATAAGTACAAAAACAGATTTCCCAACATAAGTTCGGAATTGAGACTGTATTTATCATCTTCCATTCCGGATTTTAATTCGCTAAGTGCTGCCAAACAGCCTCAAAATTTCCATTAAATATGCTTTTACAATTTTTTTAAAATTGAAGTAAATGCGTATAATTATCAGTGTTCAACATTTTTGCATAACTGTTAAAAATAAAAATGTCTTTGCATCATAGAACTATTACTGTATTTGCAGATGTAGACGTTAATAATTATACATAATGGAGATAAGGCTGGGGTACCTGGAGAAGTCATGATAAGTCAAGGGATATGTTGCTCTACGTAAGCTCTACGTTGCTCTACGTCAAGGGGATGTTGCTCTAGTTTATGGTAAATTAAAGAAAAGTAAAATTATTTTTCAATGAAATTTATATCGTGGTAGAGAATTTATGCATTTCGGGCCAATAAATAATAAAAATCAGCTGTGGACTCGTCGAGATCTTAAATATAGTTTTATTTAACTGCTGATTGGACTTACCAACCACTTATACCAGTTCAGTACGCACGGGAAAGAATGCGGTAATTCGTTTATTAGTTATAAAGAAATTTAATGCAGAAACTTATTTTATAAACTTGGTCTCTTACGTAATGCTAAAGAACAATTAGTATTGAATAAACTGCGCAATGTAGGATAAAAATTGAACTTTAAAAATTCTTCAGAATATATGATGATCAGTGCTTAGTCTTAATGAACCTTAAATTTAAATCGCAGGTAAAAGTTAAATTTTCTATAATTCTCAAATTTCACGTATTAAACTATGTTTCCTACTTAAATAAATGTTAAGTAGGAAATTATTTTAAGCTTTAGAGGAATAAATAGAAAAGTAATTTTTTATCCAAGAAGAGGTATTTTTTTCCCCTTAGACGGAATGCTTTTGCAAAGAAAGACTTAGGAAAAACTGGCTTATTTACATATTTCTGTTGGAAAAATTACGCGAAACAAGTAATATAAAAAAAATTTAAATTCCTACTTATGTTAACAAAGTAAAATTTTATTTTAGTTACTTTTTATTAGCATTATTATAATTTTTCGTTTCTAATTTATAAATATATTATTATGGTGGTCTATAATTTCTTATTCCATCCATCTCTTGTAATGCTTCATTATTGTAAGGAACCTTTCCAGTGAGTTTCGAGCAGTCCAGTTCTTCAATTAATATTCCATCAATTCTTTTTCTTTCTCTAATCGTCGCTTGCGTTGGGTTGTAGTTTCTTTTGTCATTCTCCGTTTGTGAAGCAAGGGACATTTTAAAGCGTTATATTTTAAACATATATTATTATCACATTAACATGGAAATATGGGAGAATTTTCGCTACATAATGAGGCATTGCATCCGCTTCCTCCAACTCTATAAAACTACAATTCTTCAATTCCATACACTTTAAAAATCTTTAGAACTCTGTCTTACTGTTGCCACTTATTTTTGTCAAGTATTACAATCCCATTGATCACAGTCATGTACTATTATTTATAAGTAGTTATAAAATTAATTTTTACAGCACGGGAGAATTCCTAATAAACGTTTATTCTTTGTGAGTCTTATAATATATTTAAAAAGCAGCATATGCAAAAGTAGAAAGTAGTAAATTAAAAACTGAGAGACCTAGTTGATCAAAAGTTCCGATAAACATGAAAAATGAAGTAGGAATTGACTTTAATATGTGGAAAAACTGTATCAACATCAGGTGTCATCCACTACAAGTTTAGAAAAAATGTGTTTGAACTTGAGTGGATGAATAAAAAGTATTTTATTAACGATTGAAAATTTGAACAAAATATAGGGAGCGTGTGAGCTAATAGTAGGAATTTAAAAAAAATTACTAAAAATATGGAGAAATTCGCTTACATAATTAAAATTATTATATAAGAAGTGCAAAAATTCAGATGCTGTTAAATATTAAATCAGGTTTACTTTGCTTAAAATATATTCACAATTTGTACGACAAAATTTATCTCAGAAAAAAGAAATGTCAAAACATAAAACTCATAAATTTATACCGTTGCTTCAAATTTTCTCTAAATAAGTTAAAATGATCGTCTCAGATTTTTTTCAAAATGACGTTAAGTGATTTGCATAAATGTAACGTTAAAACAGTGCTTGTAGTAATATAATGCTTCTTGAATAGGAAAGGAATTACTGTTATTGGTATAACAGCAAAGGGCGATTTGCTATGCGGAATACTTTTTAAGGAAAACTGACTCCTATTTGCATTAAAGATTGAGAAAGCCAAGAAAACTTTCAAGCAGCCAACTTCCATTCGCCGGGATTTGAGATCGGGGTTGAACTACCAGAATTCAGCGATCCTACGTGATAGGCTCGACTTTTCAATTTTAATTTAATCTTAATTGCAGAAATACTGGTTATGGAATTAGAGAACCAAATAAATGTATGGTTTGGTTCATTTGCTTTTAAATAAAATAACATTTAATAAATGTATGAGGTTTTGAAGAATTTGGCATTTTATTAGTCTAAAGGGGCTTTGTCCCTGACGGAGTATTGTTTTCGTTTTGCGATTTTACGTCGAATCACTCTGAATGTCCGTTTCGCTTTTCAAACTGTTGCTACCAAATATTATCGCCCTGTATTATATTTGAAGAAATTAAACAATGAAGAATCTGCATACATGTAGATGTGTTTCTCGCATTGTGATAAAAAAAAAACGGTACCTAGAGCCATCCGATTTTGAATGACGTAATCCTCCTGCGAATGTGGGCATGTGGAAGCGCAAATTTGAAATTTGGAATTTGTTTTATTATCGATTTCATATTTTGTAGAATTTTAACGAATTTTTCATTAACAAACTTAAGGATTTCAAAGCGAGCCATGGCAACGTTGTAAATATATATATATATCTTCAGCGCAGGAGACTGTGTATCGGAAATTCTGAAGATATGATCACTTTAAAATTATTTTGCGGCCACTTTGCGCGTAATTGAAAATCTGTAACCTTTCAGATTTTTTTTCATGTGTTTTGAAATAAATGCTTTTTATTTACATTTCATCTGAAGCACTTCATAACAGTAGAGAGAGTTTACCGCCAACCATTTGGCGAGATTTCTATTAAGAGACCGCTGGCACCTCCCTCTTCTTGAAGTACCGTCCACTTCAATGGCAGCCCTAAAATTTCAGCCTGATGATGGACGACTGAAACATACCGCTTTTGCAAATGATACCCAAACACTTTATGACTTCTGCCATTTGTTAGTGACGTGAAGAGTGGTTAATATTGTCGGGGACTTTTATGTCCACACAAGCCTGAAATGACAGTTTTCCGATGTGTATCTTCATGCTTCACCAAGCAATGGTGATTTTACATTTAAATACATCCAGGCACTCAAGCTTACTGAGTGCTATCCTGATGGTGTTGATTTCATGTTGTACACAGAGAGCCACTGGAACTTGGTGGTGAGTTTTTAATTTCTTCTTTGCTTTTTTATATTTAATGCTTAGTAAAATAGATAAATTAAATATCCGTTGCGTGGTGAAAATTATTGCATGGAAGTGGATATGGAGATTCTTCCTCAACTCAAACTCTGGTTCATTTGCAATCGCTATATGCACTAATTCTAAAAACTATGAACTTTATTCTAAAAAAAAAATAGAGGTAATGAATATTAATTAAATTATCATACCTTCTAGCAAGCCCAATTTTTCTCTGAATCAAAATTTACTTCTTAGCCATGATTCGTTAAATATGATTTAGTACAAAATTATGAATTGTATGTGGATTTAACTAGAGATACAATGATATTTAAGATACCTGCATTGAAAATTGGACGGAGGGAAAAATTTCCATTCAGTGCAGAAAGTTTCAAAATTATTAACTTCTGCTTCAGTTTTACTATTTCATTACACATATTGTTTAATTAGCACAATAACAAGTAGCCAATCGTAGACATAAAAATATCTGCGTGTTTCCAATCTTAGATATAAAGAATAATTTGTAATAATTTTTGCACAAAAATGTTTTCTTATGGAATTTTCTAGAGTCTCTTACGGAGTAGGTGTTGATTTTTAATATGAATTCAAAGAGATCCTTGTGAAACTATCTGGGTTCAACTTTCTAACAAAGATTTCTTCTATTAATGTTATCGTTGTTGAAATATTTAGAAAGCAGTACAATACTACTGTAAATTTTTTCTCTAATATTACGAACTGAAAAGTTAAACATCTGACTGAACTCTAGATAAAAATATAAAAAAAGGTAGTATGATTTCTTTTCCATTAAAATTCTTCTGTTGAAAAGTATTGAAAAAAAAACTGCTTAAATGTTGAAAACTAAATATTATCAATAAAATAATAGCTTTATAGTAAATCAAAATCTCAGATAGAGAGCTAAGACGTACTTGTCTATAATTTATTATCTTAAAAAGAATATTTTGAGAATCCTACCTTGCACTCATGTACATATGAAGGTTCTTGAAGGTCATCTTCTGTTCGATATTATTATTTTGATACGTTTTCTTTAAAGAAAAGAAAACCTTAGATTGGCATAGAATTTTATTAAAAATCTACTCAAATATAAAGCTATCCTTTCGCCTAATTTTAAATCGGCATTCCGTTAAAAATTTTCATACTCTTTCCCAATGGGCTGTATCAGTCATATATCCGAAGAAATAACGTTTATTTTTGGGGAATGGGTAAATGTTATTCATTGTAGCATCGTAATTTGTAGCGTATAATGCATTTTCATAGCAATCATTTAGCACACTTATTTATTAGAACTATTTCATGACTAGTTTATTTCTACAGAATTAGTTTTGAAGCATGTAACAAATATGAAAATTTTAACTGACAAACAGAAAAAATAAAATAAAATAAATAAATAAATAAATAAATAAAGCGAAATACAAGATTTCTCGCCTAGCAAATTTTTTAGTGGATCGTTATGTTGAAATATTCGGCATCTGAATTTTTTGTAGGATTATTGCTCCCTTTTATCTCCGCATAAAAAAGCAATAAATAATTATAATTCGCTTTTATGCACGTATTTGATGTTATACTTCAATATTTTTTTTTTAAATAAAATTTCATACATTTGAAACTGAAATGTTCTTCAACTTTAGAATGTGCGTATATTTGAAACCTAAAGCGCAGCTCTTAGAATTTACTTAAAAAAATACATATATCACAAATTTTACTGGATTTGGAAAAAAGAAAAAAAAAAAATAAAATAAATTTCAGAGAGATTTGTTATTTAGAGTGTTCTAGCTTTTATGCATGATACTGTTATTGTTATATAGGGATTTTAAAAAAATTATACGGGATTCTAAAGGCTTTACTGAGTTTTAATTTTCAACCTTTTATTTGCATAAGGCATTAAGTTAATAATATTAAAAAAGTAAAACAAGCCACATCTAAATAAAACAAATAAATAATAACAATAAAATAATGACACAAACAAAATAAGTTAGTTAAAGTTAGTTAAAGTAGTTCAAAACATTTCTCATTTATAATAAAATACCAAACAATCAAGTCTGAATTATGAGGGATGAACAATGAGAATAAAACATTAATTAACAAACGGAATTAATGAACCATCGCGTAAAGTCGATTGATTATATTAGAGCGACACTTTTCCATATGTGTTTCAATCCGTCATAAATGTTTGTTTAATCCAAAATAAAAATCCTAATTCTGTATCGCGTTTTTTTCCAGATATGAATTAATTTATTAATCTATTACTTTATTTAATTTCGGATTGTAAAATTAACCTTTTGAAAGGCCATACTATAAATCGTATTCGTGTTTACATGTAGAAGAAAAACAAAATGCCCAGTATCACGTCACCCCGGAAATAAACCTCCTTGCTTATGTGTAACGATATAAACAATCTTTTATCCTTAATAGCTGGCGAAATGCGAATCTAAACAATTATGATGCCTTTAAAACAAAGCGTTCTCAACTTGTTTTGCCACATGCACTCATTTCACCATTGTCAGAAGACCTTTCCCTCCCCTCTTTTCCAAAGCTGGCATTACTTAGGTTTAGATTATATTTTAATGCTGTTCATATTATACATTAAACAATAAAAGGTATAGAGTATGTTGATAAATGCCAAAACTTATGCAAAAATGTTTTTTTATATCCATAAACTAAAGCCAAATGCTTAACAGTTAAATAAAAGGCTGACCGCATTCTCCCTAAAATTACGAAATTTCCTCCTACGAGGGAATAACTTCCGTGTTTTCTCTCTAGACACTTTATTACGATGTTTCTAGAAACAATGAAATGAAAGTATACATTTTATAGTTTTATTTACTCATATATGAATATCATAAATTTTAATCAGTTAAATAAAATATTAACTATAAAATAAATAAAAACTATAAACTATTACAAAAATCACAAAATTCTGAAAGGTTTCAGATTTTAAATTACGTCCAAAGGGTCGTTTTTTAAACATTTCGTGTGTTACCTTTATTGATTAAATATCATGTTCTTCGCACTTAAACAATAAAATTCAGTTCAACAGCAATATCGCAAAATAATTTTAAATTGAGCGTATCTTTAGAAGCTCCGATACACTGTCTCGCGCGCTGGAGATAGAAATGTTTCTTCTGTACAACGTTGCCGTTGCTCTCTTTGAAATCGTTTAGTTTGTTAATCAAAAATTCGTTCAAGTGTTACAAAATATGAAATTGATAATGAAACAATTTTCAAATTCAAATTAGAGCTTCTTTATGCCCATATTCTATGGAAGATTATGTCATTCAAATTTTGATGGCTCTATGTACCGTTGTTTTATCACAATGCGAGAAACATACATACATTCATGCAGATTCTTCATTATTTAATTTCTTTAAATATAATACAGGGCGATAATTTTTGGTGGCAACAATTTGAAAAGTGAAACAGCACTTACCATGAATCGGCGCAAAATGCAAAAACGAAGTTAATATTCCTTCAGATCAAATTGCCCCTTTGGACTAATTATACTTTAAATAAATTTTAATCAGTTAAGTAAAATATTTACAATTGATAAATAAATGGAAGATTGATTCATATTGAACATGCGATTCTTCAATTTATCATAAACTGTAAACTTTCAAATTTTGTGTTTTGCCTAAAATTTGTTAAATGTTTTTAAATTTTAAATAATTCCTAAACGAAATTTTAAGAGTTTCTTAGAAATATAATGGCACATAACTTTTGACAGTGACTAAAAACGATGTAAACAGTAAAATGTATTTGCTCCAGTGGATCATGATGATAACATAAATTTAGCTTCAGCTCGTTTTTTATTGCGTGATAAGTGTTAGTCCGAAGCGTAGATATTATGGTAAATAAAGCTTGCTGAAATATTTGTAGCATGTACTACTAAATAAGTAATTACTGTAAAACTTCAAATAAGGTTTTGCATAAATATAGGTAAATAGCATATAATTGTATGCATATACATACTTCAATGACTGCATACAAGTAGATTTTAGTGAAGCAATACACAAGTAAAAAGCTCAAATATTAATAAATATATTTGATGATTCTCAAACATGAATTTTAGTCAATAATTTGTAATTGCACGCATGAAATTTAAGGAAGCTTTTAAATCTAAGTTTTCCCTCTTAAGGCGTTAATTAAGAAAATTACTTATAAAAAGGGGGGAAGCATTTATAGGTTTCATTGATATTACATCACTTGGGATCTTACGGTTTTACTCATACCAGTCATTTATGCCTTATCGTGCAGGAAAACTTAATTTACAGAAGCAGATATGTGATTATTACTTAATAATAATTCGTATAAAAATCCTTTAATCTCATCAGAAATAATCAGGCATTTATTTAGCAGGGTACCTCTGCATTTTATTTTAAGTTTTAGTATTCCTTTTAGCTTCTGTATCAACAAATACCTATCTAAAGTCTAAAGGCCCGTCCACACGAGGACGCTCCCGACGTAGTTGACGTAACTTTTTTGACACCGGGCGTAAATTCGCAGGACGCAGAAGACATAAAACTGAGTACGCTCCTGTTCAGCTTTTACGCCCGCGACGCTCGCGTATAGTCAATAGCCGACCGAGTTCTTATCACGTGTCATAATCAGAAAACCTTCTTGCTTACCCGTTTCAATATGGCGTCAGAGCCACACAGAGATGAGTTTTTTGCTTAGAAATATACTGTATACAGCAATAAAATAATCAGCATTGTTCACGTCATCTTCAGATTTCTCAAACCGTACAAATTAGTATAAATTTAAAATTCTCATTAAAGGGGAAAACTGTATACTTATAAAGCAATTATCCGACCACTATATACATATGCTTCACCTATTTTTAACACCGTAAGTAATAGGAGCCTAAATAAATTACAGTTTCTACGAAATCAAAGTTTCTGCCTTACAAAATTCTCCTTAATTATTATAAATATTGGCTATATCATGTGTAATAAAAAGCTCTATAATATCCC